GCTTGTTCAGAATTGAATATTTGTCCTTGTAAGAAGTGGTCCAATGCCTGGAAGAAGTGGTAGTCAGTTGGTATAAGATCTGGTGAATACCTGGATCACAGAGAGTTTCCAAGTCCAGCTCTTGTAGTTTGAACAGCGTTGTTTTTTGCAACAGGTGGTCTTGCCAGAGGATTGGCCTGTCTCTACTGATCAATCTCAGCTGCTTAATCATAAACATCCTCATCATTTCGTCCGATTGATTGCAGTAGACATCCACTGTAATTGATTGACCAGGATTCATGAAGCTGTAGTGAATAACACCAGCGCTGGACCACCAAACAGACACCATTAGCTTTTTCTGATGAATATTCGGTTTTGGACTGTGTTTCAGCACGTCACCTTTATCCAGCCATTGTGCTGAATGCTTGCAATTGTCAAAAAAATCCATTTTTCATCAACATGTAACAATACGGTATGGAAATGGTTGGTCTTTATGTCATGACAGCAAAGAAAGGTAAGCTTCAAGATGATTTACCTTCTGATGCTCATTTAATTCATGCGGTACCCATCTATCCAGCTTCTTCACCTTGGCCATTTGTTTCAAATGGTCCAATACTGTTGGAATAGTAACATCGAACCTTGCTGCTAATTCCCACGTAGGTTGAGATGGATTCGCTTCCACTACAGCTTTCAGCTCATCATTATCAACCTTGGTGTCAGGTCATCTCATGGCTCATTTCCAAGATTAAAATCACCAGAATGGAACTTTTCAAACCATTGACACACTGTATGTTCATTAGCCAGATCATTAATATGTTGATATTTCAAGCTGTCTACGCTGCACTGGTTCCACAACGGAACTCACATTCGAAAATAACACGAATTTTTGACTTATCCAAGGTTTCACAAAAATTGCTCTAAAAATTTTTTTTGAAAGACAATCACAAGGCAGAACGCGCATTTGAAAGAATGAGAATGTACCTCCACAATAAAAAAGCAAACAACAAAAAACATAAGAGGTGTCAAAGTGAAATGTCAGAGGTATCAACTTGTCAAACTTAGTATTTAAGGAAATTGGACATTCTATACTTAATAACCTAATACAAAACATTATAACTTTTACGTTCTTTAAACAACAATCTTTTGAAATTAACCTCAGACTTTTTTGAAGAAAATATACAAAAAGACTATCTTTTTCAGAAACACAAAAGTTTTATTGCTTACTACTGCCCTCTAGTGCATTTCTGGAGCATCAACAAGGCTAAATAGTTTAAAATGCTTCTAGGTCAACTATAATTGCCTCTGATTTGTTTCGACTTCCAAGAATAAATCGCCAACTCTATTTTAAAACTGAAATGTTTTTAAAATAATGTATACAAAATACATTCTTTCACTGCTCAGTTCAGAAAGGCACCATTTCTCTACCCACCTCTCCTTTATCTGTAACAATGGTTTCCAACTCTGAGCTTTGGATTACTGCAAAGGGTCAACACCAAGCACTACCTATAGACTGAATAAATATCTTCCACATATTTGCAAAACCTATTATTCAAGGACATATATGCTGTTACAACTAATGAAACAATATAAGTAGCCAAGACTTTCCTTTTAAGTATTCATTGATTTTAAGACATATACATTTTCTTACATTTAACATCAGTGAAATCTGGATGCATCTTGAAATTGAAGGCATCCTATAATCACTGGGGAGGCAGAAGTTATAACATATTATCATTGCTTGCACATTCACAAATCTAGTCACAGCTGGTTATATTATAGTCACTTCAATCAAGTCACATGCATTCTTGGTACAATTATTGAGTTTAATTGCCACTTATGCTGTATAAGATAGTACTATGACGTAACATTGACACAAAAAGAATATGTAAGTAAAGGGAAAGAGAACTAAGAAGCATAAATAGTAAAGCAAATATTCATTGGAACAATGAGCATAATTTTATATTTTCTTTCAAAGCAAGAGTCAAGTGCTTCATAGCTTAAGAAAGGCATATATCCAAAATAGAAGCTATTTTGCAATTTTCTTTTTAGGTATATGAAAAGGGATTGCCTTTCACACAGTCAAGACATGAAGCAACAAGCAAACAACTCAAATTTATAGAATGGATATATTAGCAGTTTCAAAGAAAATCCCAGAGACAAGACTAGAGAACTCGAGAAAAGTTGAATCAATTCTCTTGATAGCAGAAAAAACAATACACTTTTTTAGCTCCCACGTATGAGAACATTCAATAAATTACGTAAGATATTCAATACTTTATTATAAAATAGGATTTGTGTTAAATGATTTTGTGTAACTATAGGCCAATATAAGTGTTGTGAGCACGTTTAAGGTAGGCTAGGCTAAGCTATGATATTCGGTATGTTAGGTGTATTAAAAGCATTTTCAACTTGTGATGGGTTTATCAGGAAGTAACCCCATCCTTAAGTCATAGCATCTGTATTGTATAGTAAAACATGGACATCAATAACCAATTCAAAAAGTGATTCAGGATTTTCAAACTCCAAATGTGAAGTTTTAGGAATGCCTTTCCAACTTATTTCACTCATATTTTCCTTGTTATGTATGTATGTATGTAGAATAGTGATGCAACTTTTGAGAAGTATTTATATAAAGTCCAAGAAATCTCTCTCAATAAATGTAAAACAAAAATTATAAATGACTGGATACGGTGGGCTCATGCCTTAGAATCCAAGCACTTTGGGAGGCCAGTGCAGGAGGATTGCTTGAGGCCAGCAGTTTGAGACCATGCTTGAGGCCAGCAGTTTGAGACCATCCTGAGCAACACCATGAGATCCCCCACCACCCCTGTGTCTACAAAAAAAAAGAAAAAGAAAAACTTATAAATGATTACGAAAGCAGTTGGGCACAGTGGCTCATGCCTGTAATCCTAGTACTCTTGGAGGACGAGGCGGAAGGATCGCTTGAGCTTAGGAGTTCAAGACCAGCCTGAGCAAGAGAGAGACCCCATCTCTACTAAAACTAGAAAAATTAGCCAGGCATCATGGCACACACCTGTACTCCCAGCTACTTGGGAAAGGCTGAGGCAAGACGATCTCTTGAGCCCAGAAGTTTGAGGTTACAGTGAGCATGATGTCACTGTACTCTACCCAGGGTGATGAGCAAGACTCTGTCTCAACAACAGCAGCAACAAAAAAAACGAAAGCAATGTCAGGGATTTTTCCTTATAGTAGTAAATAAAGTAACGGTGCATCTTATAATCAGTGGCATACATTCAATGAAATATGGTATCAGATGGAAGCCTGAAAAACTTGACTCTTAAAGGGGATTTCTGCCTCAAAGCTATTGAGAACCATTGTTCTAGTTCATAAGGTGCTATGGACTGAATATGTCTCCTAAAATTCATATGTTGAAGCTTAATCCCCAGTGTGATGGTATTTGTAGGTAGAGCCTTTGGGAGGTAATTAAGTCATGGGGGTGGATCCCTTCTGAAAGAGATTAGTGTCTTACAAGAAGAGACACTTCCTCTCCCTCTGCTCTCCACCATGTGAGGATACAATAAGAACTGCAAACCAAGGAAGTGGGCCCTTATCAGACACCAAATGTGTTGGCACCTTGGTCTTGTATTTACTAGGCTCCAGAACTGTGAGAAATAAATGTTTGTTGTTTGAGCCACCCCAGTGTACGGCATTATTTGTTAACAGCAGC